GAAGCACTCTTTAAACGCTAACCAACTTTACCTTTTCTGCTTCCAAGGCAAGTATCCTGCTTCAGTTGGAACTGCTACTTTTATGTAGAGACTGTAGATCATGAAAAAATATGTAAGTACCCCTCACTTACTGTGCTCTAACTAGACATGTTATTTAACAAGTAAATTATCTCAAAAGATGCTGCAGCTGAAGGAACATATCAAGTCATATGCAGCCACAAATCCCAGGGTCTGCTTCCTGTTCTTCTTTCCTGCAATCAGCAATTACATCTCTACAGTCCTCTTAAACAACAGCTTTTGCCTGCTAAACCCTTCCCTTCTTCAGGTTTACATAGGGTTGCCCAACGTCCCCTTTCAAAGACGTCAGGCTGCTAGTAGATGTTCTCATGGACATATGTCCACATTGCTGTTAGAACAGTGAACATGTGCTCCCAATAACTACCTTTCTCTTCCCTTTTGTTATTGAAGATAATCTCATGTTCTGGTACGGTGGATTCTTCACCGTGTGAGAGTCTGTAACAGACAACTTATATACTCCTTTGGTTGTGTGAATTATTTAATTAACAGCTTTTATTTGCTTACTGAAAAACTGATTTTCAAATTGATCAAATTGTACATCAATACACAGTGATGCTCTTCCATTCTACTACTGCTTTTTACCAATGAGGTTGATTTTAGATTGAAGCTAACACTGGTAGTAAACCAGTTTTAAGACAGACTTGAATCTAATAACATAGTCGCAGATGTATCAGCTGCACCTCTGGCATGTATAATCTGAGAACTTTCAGAATTTGTCAGTGCATCATTGCAAAAATATTCCCTTCCTTATGATCTTCTTCACTGCAAATATCCTGCACCATGCTCCATTCCTCACAGCACAGGAATGTCATGCCAGAGTACCACTTAGAGCATTTTTCTTTCCGCTTTCTTTTTGTGTTTTGTAATAGGAGTGGACCACGGTGCCTGCAATGTCAGTCAGACTGCATCCATGTGTCTTTCTGTGTTTGAATTGTGTTAGAACACTAGTTCTGCATCAGTGATTCTCACTGTTTCCATTCTTTCCCTGCTAGTTCAGCTGTCATGAATTTGCAAGATGAGGACAGATTTGTACCTGCAACCATGTATGGCATGCTAGAATCACTCAACGTGAACAGCACTGTCTCCATTAGGGAATCTTTAATGTCCCCAAGGTAAAATTCCGGAGTTCTCAGCTACACAAGTTCTGCTTTCTGATTTAAGTTAAAAATCATAGAATCACAGAACGGTTTGGGTTGGAAGGGACCTTAAAGAACACCTAGTTCATCCCCGCCCTGCCATGGGCAGGGACACCTTCCACTAGCCCAGGTTGCTCAAAGCCTCATCCAGCCTGGCCTTGAACACCTCCAGGGATGGGGCATCCACAGTTTCTCTGGGCAACCTGTTCTAGTGCCTCACCACCCTCACAGTAAAAAAATTTCTTCCTAATATCTCATCTAAATCTACGCTATTTCAGCTTAAAACCGTTACTCCTCGTTCTATCACTACTCTCCCTGACCAAGAGTGCCTCCCCATCTCTCCTGTAGGTCCCCTTCAAGTACTGGAAAATCTAGGATCTCCCTGGAGCCTTCTCTTCTCCAGGCTGAACAACCCCAACTCTTTCAGCCTGTCCTCATAGGG